ACCACTTAGTCTTACAGCCTATCTGCCGGAACTGGAAAGAAGTATTTGGGAGCAAGCCAACAACCACTTCTGGAAAAGAAAAATCCTTGTTCTTTCAGCTTCCAGTGGGATTTACCACTCAATTATGTGAGACAGCTCCACACGTGCTGAGCAGACTCCTGGCTCGATTAAAACCAATTCACTCATTTCCCGCTGTGCTCATCCCCTTCCTCCCTTTGCTGTGACACAGACCATGGTCACTGCCCTGTCAGTGCAGGACCTGACACTTAGCTCCCTGGATCAGTGGACAGGGAGCCAACAGGGGTATGACTCAGAAGGGCTGACAGAGTTAAGAAGCTTCCACTCACTACTGGGACACAGAGAAATGAGAAGAAACCATGGCTTGATTCTGCTGCAGCACAGGTTGGCACACGAGAGGCTGCTGCACTGACTGGCATCCAACATGCATGGCACAATAGCACTAAATTAAAATTTGATCCAGACAGCTGTGCATTTTTCTGAATTTGAACATATCATACCACTATTAACTTCTGAATATTAGTTGTCCTATCTTGAAAAAAAGTCCCTTAAGCTGATGAAGCTGAAGCAAGAACAAGTCTGGCTCTTCAACAAGATCTTGCAGCAAAAAGCAGCAGGAAAAAAGACTTAATATCTTTATCTTAACTTTAATCATATAGCTCCTTTTACCGTCCCTTCCTATCTATGTAGAAACAAGGATGATTCATTCTGAAATAGTACAGAATATGGGAGCATCAAAATCATTTGTTCAGCAAACATACTACTCAACACACAGAGCTAGCCAGGGGGCTGTGTCTGCACTGGTTACAGTAATTTCTGAGAGAAACCCAAAGAAACTCATTATACTATGTCTCTGAGAGGATTCATATATTAAATCTGTCTGCCTTTAGCAGGAGTTGCTGTATGTAAAGAGCTATGCTAGAGAGCTGAAGGGAGGGAAGAATATGCAGGTCAAGACCAATCAACTCATCACACATGCTACGTATCAAATACCAATTTCTCCAGCAAGGAACACTAATGTGAAAAATCCCTGACGTCTATCAGAGGGGCTGGGAATTGAGAGGCAGAGCTAGAAAGAGGCTTAATTTGGGCAGAGCATACCAGAATAGTGTTTAAAAGACACTGCAGACTGAACAGCATGAAACACTACTTTCCTGCTCCTACAGAAGAAAAAGCACAGGCTGTTCCCTTAGGCAGGCTAGTGCCTCACATGAAGACAAGGTTCTCTATCAGCTATCATGACCAACTGAGAGACAAGGAAAGGAGAATAAAGAGAAGCAAAATAAATCAGTCAGTCACATCAACCTACAAGGCTTAAAAAACAACAGTAAACACAAGCCCAAAACCAAAAACAGATAAGCTACTCAAGTTCTCTGAGCAGCTGGTTTAGAATTTACATGCATAGAGATTTCATCTTCCCCCCTCCTTTTTTTCCCCCCACTTTTTTAATGCTAGTCATCCTCAGAGGATTTTCTTAGCTTTGTTTCCCTTCTTGTTTCTAGGAAACAGAACCTCAACTAGCTACTGAGAAAAAAAAAAAAAAAAAAAAAAAGACAATAAAGCAAAATGAGAGAAGTAAAGAGACAAAGCAAAGGGGGAAAAAAATCTGAAAGAAAAAGGACAGAGCACCACTCCTGCCACAAGAAGTAAAAAATTCAGTACATTTCCATCCTCCTCACTCCTCTTACAAGACCAACTTTGTTACTCACTGCATAACACTAACAGAGATCAAATTAAGCAACTTTTGATTTATTTCACTTGCCAACATTGGAAAAGGCGAGTGCAAGCAGCAGATGTAAGACCTTCAGGGAGGATGTAATTTTCTCTCCTGTGTTGTCTCATCTCCTAAAACAACAACCTTACATGAAAGTGGTGCCTAGAATATCTGCACCACTAGGTGCCTTTAGCCTTTATGGCAGGCATGAAGAAAAAGCCTCCTATAACACAAGAATCCCCTCCAAAACAGTACCAGGGTCAGTAGAACTGCTGTCTCACACTGCCGGAGAGAAAGCCTCATTAGGATCAAAGAAGAGAAAGTATAAAAGGTTCAAAAGCCAGTGAGAAGGAAAAGAAATAATAATCAGTTAGAAATAATAGTCAGTTCTTTGGCACAAGCTCAGGGTGCATTGGGAACTGCTTCCTTCATGAGATTCAGACACTTCTCAGGAGATTCAGAAATTCCAGGAAGGAGAAAATTCAGAAAAGCAATCATGTTTTAGATGGGTTTTTTTAATTATTTTAGGTAAACCATAGACCAGAGTTAAGATTCTGCTCAAAGAACACCAAAGCTTCTTGTGCATACGTCCTCATTCACATAGTTACTCGTATGCTTGGTGTGGATGAAGTCAGGATGCCCAGGGCAACTGTTTTGATCTCAACCAAATGAATCTAGGTATGTTGAAAGTGTTCTTAGGAAAATACAGACTTGTTACGTAAATTCAGCTTTTAGGGGTAGGATGGACTGGAGGAGCAAAGCATCTGCATGTCAGGATTGCAAAACCTCAGTACCTGAGCAGGGGGCTGAGGAAATCACTGGAACACCCGAAGCACAGCTGAAGGTGACTAAGTTGCACAGACAGGTCATGAACCAACCGTGCATGAGCCATACCCAGGCTCCTACATCAGCCTCATGTAAGGAGCTTCGATGTCCAATAAATTCAAACAAATAGAAAGAAAAATAAACAAAATAAAGCCAATGTACCAGAAATGCCAAGATTCTTGCAAATCAAGAGAAATTCACTGAAAAAAAAAACCAAACCAACAAACAAAAACCAACAACAAACTGAACTTGCATCAACTTAGTAAGGTCTACACCAGTACTCTTCTCATATTTTGACTCCTTAACTAATGCTAGTTTTGTTAGAGATTGTCTTGACAGCAGCAAATCACAACAGAGTCACAAAACAGGACAGCCACGGCACAAAAGCAGCAGGTCATATAAGCTATTAAACTGTTACAACACACATCTGGTATATCCCATAGCTTTCCTGCCCAGGCCATGAGATGCTACCATGAACAAGTAAGAACAGTAATTCCCCTGTAAAGCCCTAAGGAACCACATAACCTTCTAATTACCCAAAAGAATCCCCAGGTGTCCTCATGCTCGATTAAATCAATGTTAGGCATGCAAAAGCTCATCAGAGGATATTGCTATTAACAAAACAAATCTATCTTTAGCTATGCAAGAGCTCAAAACATCTGTTTACTGCACTTGTTTTCTTCTCTCTCTCCTTGCTCTCTTCAAGCATGAACATACTCAGTGTCAGAAAAGATGCAGAGGAAGAGGCAACACACACTGGAATATATTTGCCGGGCTCCAAAGAATTCAAGTATAAAGGATAGCACATATGTGAATCTCAAGTTATCTGCAGTTTAACAGACCACCCACTGACAGAAAAAGAGGCAATGGGCAGAAATTAAGACACATGAAATTCCATTTGAACACAAAGGAAAAATAAAAGAAAAAACCCACACACTCCACCCCTTTTTTTTTTTTTTTCTTTTTGTGCTAACATGAGAGTAGTCAAACACTGGAACGTGCTGTCAGAGAGGTTGTGGAGTCTCCATCTTTGGAGATATTCAAAAGTTGCCTGGCCATGGTCCTGGGCAACCTGCTCGAGCGTAAGGGTTGGTCTAGATGATCTCAAGAGGTTCCTCCCAACGACAACGATTCGGTGATTCTGCGAACTAGGATATTGCTAAGATGGGCAAAAATTCCTAGCCAGTTGTACTGACCCCATCTCTCGTTTTGGCCACAAACACAGAAGCCTTAAGTGTTGCTAGCCTGTTTCCCATATGCTTGAAAACATCATCTACAGTTGTTGTGGAAGTTCCTTTCTGCCAATTCCAGCTTTCATGTCTTAGAAGTATGTCTATACAACGCCACTTGGAGATACCACCCTTCTCCTTTAGTTTGCTGACCAGCAGAATAAACAAGCTCAGAGGAAGAGCCAAGCCCATATGGACTTCTGCAACCCAGCCAGCTGGAGTATCCTCACATAAAGCTACATTAGGCAGTGAAGGCTTCTCCTGAAGAGTCACTTTTCTGTCTCCCCAATCTATTCCCACTACAGTATCATATCTTTTCATCTAAGTCAGAGATATACCCCATCGCAACAGCCATGATCCCACTGGCAGGGTAAAATGTTTTTCTTTCCCAGGTTTTCCAAAATGCCATCCATTATGAAACCTTTATCTGCACTTCTCTCAGTCCCTTTGAAGTTTTTCAGGCGTTAACGTTCTTTCAGACAAGTCCCATCCCACAGACCAGCAACTCTGCCATGCTCTTCTCTTCCATGGACACACACCCTCTGGGTGAGCTCTATCTTCAGCAAGATCAGGATCTGATCCCAAATCTCTGCGATTTTGCTAAACCTGCAACTTACAAAGCCACCTCTTCAGCCCTCAGCTGTCTCCCTCTAGATAGCTCTTCTGCTGTCCACCAAATTCTCCTTCGGGATATCTTTATTTGGACTTAGTTGATGGATATCTGTTGCACTCCAGACAGCCCACATACAAGGGGCTGTCGGCCTGAAACCTTTCTCCATGTTTGGATGAGGAACATCGTAAGTCATAAATTGCAGGGCATATACAAGAAGGCTTTTGTCAATTCATTGAAAGCATCATCTGCTCTATTAGGTACTCACTGGCTTGAAAATCGCATTGAGTTATGTGTAAGGTCACCACACTAAAGAGCGTAGTTAAAAAGCCCACAATGAAAAAACCTCCCAGCTTAGAGCACAAGGACGAAGAGGGGTTCCATTAAAAGGGATCCTGCTAAAACTTGACAGGTAAAATGCAATCCCTCTCCCTTGCCCATTACACTAACAGTGCTGAGTCTCGTCATTCTCTGGTGTTAAAAGACTAAAGAGCAGTAAATAGCATCCCTATAGAAGACCATTGTGGAAACACCCTGAATATTTATGTTGATGCATCAGTTCCTTGGTTTTTCTTAGCTTTGAAGAATGTGATTAGTGACTCACCCTGCCGGATAAGCAACGAGGCCAGTTCTGGGGTCGCAGGCTAATCCTCTGCCTCCCGACACCGTTATCCCCAACACCTTCTCCAAAGTCACCTAGTGCATACGAAAAAGAAAAGAAGTATCATGAAATATGAATGCAGTTCAAATGGACTCAGACACAGATGCTGATGGGCTGGTTCACGCTGACACTGAGAAGAATCACAGGTCCTAGAAATTCACTGACGAGCACCCAGGTACAGAAGCAACCCTACTCAGTTTTCAGCATAGGCACAGTAAAACACTGCTGGGGTACAGAGAAGAGAGTTCTCAATCCGCTGATTACTTTGTCTATGCCAGAGCACTGCAAAGCATTGCGAAGGCAAAGGATTGCAAGCAGCAGATAGTACTGGTGAAAAGCTGGGATGCACATTCACTGCCCACCAATTCCCATCCTCCCAGCAAGAGCAGCAAACCACTTTCTCCAGAACTTTCACCAAAAATCATTTCCAGGTTGACCTCTTTATCTCTTCCATTCAGCCTGGTCCCAGATCCCTATTCCTATGAACTGAACAGTCAATTTTTCCCACAGGGCTTGAATTGGAAACCACATCCAGTGGACTAGGGCATCCCTGAGGATGTCTCAGGAGACAGAATAGCTTACATGACTGGGTTCACAAGCCCATATACCAATGACCCATGCAAGGAGACACTAATCCAAAATGCTTGCTTTCCGCCCTGAGCAAAGATCTCAACTATTTTTAGGAAAGAAAAGAAATGCAACTGGGAAGAGCTACTTGGAAGAGACAAAGATTCATAGCCTGGCCTCTGTGGCAAGAAGCTGGGAAAAGCAAAAACAAAATGGGAGGCGAGGGGGAGAGATGAACATGACACAATATTTTGGGGAGCCTTCCCTGGCAGAGAAAGCATGAGAATTTAGCAATTACCTCAAAGCAAAAGCTTGCAGTAGGATTACAGTGAAGAAAATCTGGTCTGTGGCATGAAAGGATGCAACCTCTGAGCACAAACCAGTTCTCAGCCCTGGGGTTGTTTTGACCGACACAAAATTATTCTCTTTCCTTTACATTTGCACAGCTTGATTTTATATATTATATATTTGATGCATACATTCCTCCTCAGCATTGCTGTCCCTGCCAAACTCAAAGATTTTACTGGGTCACTGTCTTCTGGTTTTAATTATTATCATCTTAAGTTATATTTGGTTAAGGCCTTAAGGGCATGGACGCGGCATAAGAAGTTACTATTGTAATAATTACTACTATCTTTAATAGCTGCCCTGAAGATGAACATCTTGTATTTATACCAACATGGCGCAGAAAAGGCAGGGGCAGGGCAGGTTCCCCACGCCACCCTGACCATACAGCTTACCAGATCTGAGGAGTTCAGCTGCAGGGTGAAGAAACAAGGTCTCACTGAGCTCATGGCCCAGGTTACTAGAGAAGGTGACAGAAGCAACCCCACGCAGAGAACCACCTTGCTTCCACAGGTAAAGCAGGGCTGAGGCGCCACCACTTAGAGTGAGCCGTCCACGCTTCAGCTAGGTTCAAATTTGGCCTGCTTTCAAACCAGTGACATGGAAAGTGGAAGATTTCATATCCCAGCCTGTAGAACAACTTCATCTTTTTTTCTCTTTTAGTAATAATATACCCCAGATACTTCAAGGCAGTACGAGAGAACACCAAATTGTCCCCTTCCCTTGCAAAATGAGTATCTCTAGAAACATGGCTTTTACAAAAGTCCACTAGATTTTTGTTAAGTATAAGAACGTACAATTAAAAATGCATTTACAAATCCACCAGTAAAGAAAAGAAATAGTTTTGCTCCAACTTAATTTTGGAACAAAAATGTTGGGGTGAGGGGCAGGGAAGGAGTGAGGGAGGCTAGGAAGATATTGACTCTTCCAGACTTTTTAACAATACTTCAAAACACATTTATTTTTAAAGCAGCCTCACAAATACACAGAAAGAAGAACTCAATGCTTCTACTGCAGAGATTCCAGCTTGTATCAGCAGTTCCCAACCCATCAAACTAAGAGATGTTTAAATCCCCATAGAAACCGCATTCATGACAGCAAAGAAGGAAGTGGAAGAGACATGTGCCATTCAAGTACTCCAATCTAGATAAGACACCAATTACTTGATGCTGTCAGCAAACATCAATTTAGCAATGCCGTGCTTATGTTGCTCAGCACAGGCTTTAGCTCAGGCTGGCTGTAATTGCAACCATCCTAAAAGGCACTACTTGACCTTGGCTATGCAGCTATTCAGCAGCAATGCAGCAACCTACTTTCACCAACAGGTACATTTTTGCACTGCAAAGTTGCATCTCCAGCCTCTCAGTGTGCAGTCTTATGCCACAGCTGAGCTGAGCTTACCGCTGCCTGCTCTGGAGGGGCCAGCTGCTTCTTCCCTCAGCCCACTCAGCCCAGTGACACTCCCCACCTTTTCCCTCACTCCAGCACTGGCATGGCAACTGCCTGCCCGGCAGGCCAAACCAGCAGAAAAACATGTTGGAGTTTTTGATTTCTGATTGCTAGCCTGAGGAAGCCACAGGGAGCTCAAAGCCAAGGAAGAGAAAAACTGTCCCCTTTCACTGGCAACTAGATCAATTTAACTGCCATCTCTAAAACCCACCCTGTACTTTGGCATGGAAAATTCTGCCCCCTCTTAGCCTTTAAGAGGGAGAGAAACCAAACAACAGCATCAACTTATTTATCTTGTCACTCTCTCTCCACCAACAGCAAAATGTCACGCTTGCTCCAGCTTCCTCTCTCTAGGGTCTGTGGAGGCCCCACACTGCTCTGCCAATAGACTATTTGTGGCAATACTAGAAGGTGGAAAGTCTACCTTTCTCCAATGGTCAGCACACAGCTTGACACAACAGCAGTAGCTTCATCTTCAGGCCCAATTATTCTATTGCCAGCAAGCATCTTCTGGCCTCTAACAGATCACTCGTTCCATTAGAAAAAGACAACTATCAAGGCCATACCACTGGTATTGATAGACCTAGCGCCACAGAAACAGATACCTGTGTCCAGAGACTCATCACTAGCTTTCTGAAAAAGGCTCCTCCTCTTTTGCTCCTAGTCTTAGCTTTAAAACTTTCCTAATGTAAAGAATCTGAAAGGCAACCCCATGAGCCTATCCAATGGATGCTCTTACAACACTTCCACATGATAATCCTTGAGTTAAAAACAATTTGCTTCGAAAAGGAGTACACGCAAATTTAAAATTTGGTCTTCTGACACTTGTGAGCTCCACTCCCACTACCCTGCCCACCATATACCACAGCTTTATCCCCATGACCAAACTCCAGACTAGGTGACATAAGGGCAAGAGATAGTCACTTGTCACAAAACTTGACAGAAGAATGAAAAATATTTCAGAGAGGAAGAAACAATAGGCAACAATACAGTATAAACTGGATCCCTCTCAACTTGCCAGCTAAAGCAAATAAATTATTAATATAGTTAACTAGGGCAGAAGTATACCAACTTTAGCTTCCTAATCTGGAATTAAGATTTGTCAGTAAAGGGCAAATTTGTCAATAAAGGTCTGTCATTATCCCACTTCTGAAGTTAAAACCCACTTCGTCATATGGCAAGTACAGTCGCCCAGTTCTACACAGCCATAACCACTGCCGTTCATACAGGTCTCCCAGGTTGTACTTCAGCTCATCCCAATCAGAAATAAAATCCCTGGCAGACCTTTCAAGTCTGATTTCAGCTAACCACAGGACCTGGAGAGTTCCCCTGCAGATCTGAGATACCGTGTCCACTACCAATAGCTCCCATGTTGGCCCAATTTGCTTCCCCATAGTCATCAGACATGCCACTGCTTGCTCAGACCTTCACAGGCAATCAATGGGCCATCTCACCACCCTCATCCAAGCCTGGAAACAACTGCAAGATTAAACCTGTCATTTTGTGCGCCTAAATTAGAGGCACAGAGCAGAGGCCGGCTATCCACATTTGTTACTTCATCTCAAGGCTTCTATTAATAGTATTTGGCACTCTCAGTCAAGGTTCTCTAAGTGATTTGCAAGTGTTATTGAATTGATCCACACACAACATGCTTCTGCAGCTCACTTTGCACAGCCACTAGGCTACCTGTAACCACCCCATCTTCATTCCTTTAAGGCCAACTTTTTTTCAAATTTCAATACACATTCTTAGGCACTAAAAACAGAATCAGCTGTGCAGCTAACACCCGTCTTGCAAAACCTGATATTCACCCACTTTACAGGCTTAAATCTAAACTTGGCTGCTTGGAGTTGCACAAACGTGTAAAGAAATTTTAGTGACTAAGCAGATCACTTACCCTCTTCCTTCCACATCAGATCCCAAGATCATCAGGTAGTTTCCACACCTGGTAGGACCAGACCAGCAGAGTCCTGAATTGCAGGACTTGAGATACCAACAGGTATTCATGGCAGCCAGGCCTTCCCAGGGCAAGGGGCCTTGCTGCAGCCCAATCCCACCTGGGAGTCAAAGGGCACACCTGAGAGCAGAGCAGCCCTTGCTTCCCTCGGGCACGGTCCCACGCAGCACAAGGGGAAAGCCCACGCTCCCATGACAAAGCCAAGCCACCTCTGCCTTACTATTGAGGTGCAGGTAATCCTTTTGGAAAGGCTGGCCTAAACAGCCCCTGCCCGCCTTGTTTGTCTTTTCAGGAAACAAGATGTACATCCAGCTGCTCCCAGCTCTCTGAGAGTAAGTTTCATACTTGGGTGAGCTCTTTGTTGTTTTGAGGAACTTACCACAAGCGATTGTTTCCACATGCTAAAAGGACAACACAGAAACCCCTGAAGGGTCAGCCCAACTTCACCCCCCTGCAAACACTCTCCTCCTTCCCATCCTTTGTGTCCCTTTGGGACCACCTGCACTGCAAAGCCACACAGGAGGTACAGGAGGCAAACACCATGGCCTGCACATGGAGGCAGCACGCTGTTAGAAGGCAGTAGTAAACACACCCAGCACAGTAATAATTTCCACCAAAACAGGTGCCAAAGGGGACAATCAAGCCACAGTAACAGTCCTGCCTGACCTGAGCTCACTCCCTACACCTGCACTGGTTTTCTGCTGAGCCACCGTTGCT